TTTATATAACAGTCTAAGTGTGGTAATTGAATGACATAATGGAAAAAATCCTAAGTGATGTCTTTGGAAAACCATTCACTCACATTTAGGAAGGCAACCATTGCATTAGCATCCAATAATGTTGTTTCGTTTCTAATATTATTTTCTCGATATCTTAATGCCTTTTCTGCTTTGTATATGTAACTATTCCTCTGCCTTTTCAGATTTTTCTGTTACACTTTCCATCGTTATTTTATTGTCGAGTAGTTGAATTTCCCCAACTATTGATTCTAACTCCCCGCTTTGTAAGTCATTTGCTCCCAAATATGCTTTCGTTTTCTCATGCAGTTAATATTTACTCCTTTTTTGTTCTCCTCGACCACCATGTTTAATATTTGTTTTTATTTTTTAATATTAATTTTTATTTAACATTAATTTTTATTAAATATTATCATATAGATTTCCTTCTGAATTTGGCATTACACGGTGTAATCTTAGTAGCGCGTGTTGCAAAGTTTACATTAGCTGAATATAATTTCTGGTAGGCCATCTTGGAATAAATCCGGTGAGAAAAATCCTGGTTGAAATCTTCTTGAAATTTTGATGTATCCTCTTAATTCATTGACGATTGGAATACAAGTATTTTGTCTTTAATACAGATCGCAGATTAGTATTCAAGTATTAAATGTGAGAGTAGCGCTCCCCCCGAAAGTGATACCGACGTACAGATATATGAAACAATATATCCTCCATGACACCCAGTTCGGATGTAACAGACACATGTATTAAAGCCAGGATATGGTAAAAGGTTTTGATAAAATAAGTGCATAATCTGAGAGGAGGTGAATAGTTAAAATTACCTATAGATGGCCTCTGATTGATGAAATTTTCCAAGTATCTACATGCGACACCCAATTGGCCTCACCTTAGCAACCACATCCTTCAAACGTAAGAAAAAACAATTCTCTCACCAATTGGTCATGATGCTTCCAACTACTCTCTCTCTCTCATGAAGAGATGCCCAGTGCGTTAGTACCTTGGTCATATTTTGTTATGATCAGGCAAATCACAAACCCATCTGTGATACTGAATTAGATATTTACTGAAGGCTATCTTAATCCACCAAGATGAAACATGTACAATTAAGATAAAAAAACGTGTACTGGTGTAGCAACAGGGTATTTATTACCATTATTATTATTATTATTATTATTATTGTTTGCTTTGCTATTTGGACCAGCATGATCATCATGATTGCTAGATTAACAGTGTTTTAGACGTTGTCCACACCGGCCTTCTTCAGGTGTCGTGTAATATTGCTCGAATTTAGAACCAAACCATTTATTCAATTCACAAGTGTAGATTGTTCTTATTTCACTTTCGATGCTTAGCAGATATTCCTTATAAGTTAATACACACCAGTGTTATTCAGATTTGTGTCGCTTGTTTATTTCTTTTACTAAACCAGATGTAAGATATGTAACCAGATATTAAACTCACAACTGTAAGGAAACCAGGTATTTTTCACTAACGCTTTACGCTACTAGATTATTTGCATAAAGATATATTTTTTTAATGATTTTGCATTCATTTGCACACACTTTATTTGGCAATACCATGAAAATTGATTTAATGTAAAATAAATGTGAGCAATGATTTTTTCATGCTAAATACAAAAATATAAAATGGCAAACTTAAATATTATGGGTGAGTAAATGTATCAATACTAATATTTGGTTACATGTCCTTGACACCTACATTCACAATCAAAATTTGTCATTCGTAACCCAAATCTGTCATTGTCAACCAAATGTGTTCTTTCTTATGCTTCTTCCGAGTCAAGTTTGGTATATAAGGCCTTTGCTACTTCTATCGGTGCCAGGTTAGAGAAATCGACTAAATAGTTGCCAAACTCTAACAAAGTTCCGTGGCGAACTGCTTTTAAGAATAATCTCGAAGATTTTCAAGTTACCTTTCATTTGTTGAACGCTGCAAGCTGTAATTTTAATCTGTCAATGTGTTCATCAGCAATTCTTCTTAATTCTTCAATTTTCCATTCAACGGTCATCAATTTTGGAGCTCTCATTTTGATCAATAATTTTTCATGGTGAAAAAGGAAGCTAATTCTGGTGTAGCTACTGCTACAACAAGATATCCCAACTTAACATCATTCTGTAGCCTATTTTCTAATGCTTTTTGTAAGGCTAGTCTATCGAAATTGAGCTTTTTACCGTCCAATTAAAAAATTCCAAATTTACAATAGCCAAATTTCAAAATAAGTTTATCAATACAAAAAGATAAAGTATTATTTTAACGAACAAACAATATCATCACATACGGATAATTAGAAATAAAAAAGTTCACACATTGTCGCCCATGTAGAGATCTTCTACCAAGGTTAGGACGAAATGTTTCTGTACATGATTGTATGTTCTTAATACACAATAGTGGGTTAAATGTAGACATCATTTCATCGATTGCTTCTTTGAGGTCCCGTAATCTGCACCCTGTCTGAGTTACTGAGTAAAGTCCTCATAGTTTTAAACGCCTGCCCATCAAGCGTTTCATAGCAGCCTTCATGACGCTCCAGTATTCCTCGATTAGGATTAAAGGCACGCTGCATGGTGTACTGCGGATAATAATGACGCCGAAAAATTCCTCCTCTTGAATTAACTTCTTCACATCTATATGAAGTGGCGCATTCTAGCCGTATTTGTCTTTTATAATGGGTTAAATAAGGCTTATCACTTAAACCAAAATTGGAACTATGGATGGGGTTGAACTTTCTTGAATCTTCTTCCAAGCTGTTTGTTTATGATTGTAGTAGTCTGAACACTTTTCTATGCCCTTCGGCTGTCTGATGTGTAACCCCATTAGCAACAGTCACTGTTTTCTAGTGCTCATTTTCAGCTGCATCAAGAACCCTTATTTTAACACGAATATTGCAATTGTAACTGCCTTTTAATTCTTTTTCAGACTATAATTGTTGATTATGCGATATTAAACATAACTTCATCACTGCTAGTATTCAGCGTTAAATACATTTAATTTCGAAAGACGTATTCACAATTCCATCGCGAAACAGGTTTATAAATACGAACAAACTTGCTACAAATCTGAAGGAAAGACTTTTGAAATGAATTGAAGCCAAGCACATTATTGGTAATTCAAAATGGTAACTAATTTGTTTCGTGGAGAGAAAATCGCAGTTTCTGGTTAGTTACTTCTACAGATTTCTACTTTTATAAATTGAAAATCAGCTTTCTTTACAAATTAAAGAAAGCGGAATTTTGAATTTGATGTTTTTTAATTTTAAGTTTAACTTTTTTTACTGGATATTCAACTTTCTACGGATGAAATGGTATAAGCAAACAGAAAGGGACCTTATCCTAATCTTTACACACACACACACACACACACGTGCGCGCTCGCACACACAAACACAGACAGATGCACACATATGGGAAGTCAACCTTGCTGAACTTGGGCGTTCAGCAAGGTTGATTTCCATACACCATATTTATCAAGCATTCCATTCCTAATACTGCTTATAGTTGTATTCGTATTCAAATATGATGCAGACTGGAAAGACTTTGATGATGAAAACTCAACTAAAAACTGACAGCATTTTCTTCCATGCAAAAAGCTGTCAGTTTCAGATTGTCAACCGACCCTGAAAACAAAAATTACAGTTGTGACATTCAAGGAACAAATCACAAGCAAAGAAACATGCCGAGAATAACCAGCCAAAATATGCGGAAAAAAATTTCAACACCAGACTTCAACGAACGTCATAAAGCAAATATAGCTCTTTAATGTAGAACACATATACACTAAAGGATTAAATTTACTAAATACAACATATCACGAATCTTTATATCAACTACATGGCGTTGCAAATTTTAGTCAGTACATCACTAACTTGATCCTATTATCAGACACAAGAAAGTTTAACTGTTTACAAAAAGAAGGGGTTTCTTCTTGAACATAGTTTTTAGAAACCACCAATCGACCAAATTCCTCTATTCTGCTGCTGAACTGACGGTAGTATTTTGGGGGATTTTGTAAAGCTTTTTAGCTTTACATTAGTTTGTCAGCGTTTGAAAAACGTTTTGTTTCCATAAAATCACCCTTTCATCCAACAAATCTTTTAGTCTCAGAGTGTTAGTTTTGACGCAGTAAACATTACTTCCCTTATTTTTTTTTAACTATTCTTCCAATGTAAAAGAATGGAAAAGACTGATTATCTCCTAGAATTTTATAACAATGAACCAAGAATCATTATTGTTTGTCTTATCTATTGTTTATTCCTTTTAGTAAAGTATTTTTTCATTATTGTTACTATTGTAATCGCGTGGTTCTCCTATCATCATTGTGACTGTTGATACATATTTTCTTTTTAGCTTCTCTAATTGGACATTTTCATGTCCCTAATGTTGACAATGTGGATCCTAGACAAACGACCATTCGACAGAAAGTTTTATTTGTTTGCTCCTCGCTCCCGACATAATAACGCTTAAAGTCCACTTCACACTGCACGCCTATTCTAGTTTTTTTTTTCTTTCCTGATTTGCCATTTTCCATTGATTTTCTCGAAGACTTAATGTTTGAACCATTATCATCGACTCTTGCTTATTTCATTCATCCACTTTTCCTTATTCTTTTCGCTCTCTTTCGTGCTCTCCCTTCATATGTCTTTCCTTTCTTTCCGTTTCATCTTTATCAACTTCTATATTCTTTCTCTTTCACCTTTTAACTTTATTTCTCCGCTCGACGCAATTTTGTGTAAACATTGATTTCATTATCTGTTTTATTTCCTCCAATTAATTTAGTGTCATTTATTTCTACAGTATAATCCGATTCAGTATATATTTACGCTTCTCGCGCACGCACACACACATATTCACATACGCATACTTATGCATAAACATAAAAAATATTTGTAAGATTTTAACACACAACTCTTTTTAGAGCGCATTATTTGAGACAAAACTAGCGAATGCAGTATAAACCATAACTCTTCAATATCCATCCACGCACGCGCATACACTCAAATTAGATAGATAGATAGATAGATAGATAGATAGATAGATAGATAGATAGATAGATAGATAGATAGATCCTATGCTGCTGTGAAAGATCGTTATGCATTCAGCGTTATTATATCGTCATCATGTAGAATCTTGTATCAATTCCATAATAAACTCTTCTATAAAATTTTGGAAGGGAATTGCAGTTGAGATCAAAGCTAAATGTAATTTGATTCTTCCTAATAAGAATGTAATTATATGAATACATATCAAATCAGTATTTAATGCCCTTCGAAATAATCCACTTCTGAAGCCACACACTTTATCCAGTGTCGTTTCCATTGATGGGAATATTCCTGGAACTCCTTCTTTTTGGGATAAAAGAGCTGTTACCACGTTGCATTCTCTTGGATTTCCTCGACGTCTTGAAATCTTGTTCCTTTCAAGTGGGATTTGATTTTTGGAAAGAGGAAAATGTTGCACGGCGTGAATGTGATGGTTGTCGAAGCTGGGGAATGCTGACCTTGGCCTAAAACTGTTACAAGAGCCATCACTGATGTAACCTCTGCGATCTGATGAGATGACCACATTTTCTCCCAATTACTGCTTTAAACAACAGAAATGAACATTAAAACTTCGTTTGCATAATGTTCGATAGTGATCGAGATCAATCTGTGGCAAGCAGCTTCACTTTGCGTCCCATAGCAACCGTCCCGATTCTTTTTAAGCAAACCTCTTATAAGCATTAACAGTTGTTTATCACTAGGCTTCTATACATGTATGCATTTATTTTTAAGACACAGCGTTAGGGCCACTTGTTGATGCATTGTTATCAGCTGAATTTTCACCGTATAATCGTAAATTTGTGTGATTAATATGCACAACTAAATGAAGTGCATTAAAAAAGAAGGAGACTATGTTGAAAAACAAATATTTACTCTGAGAAAACTTATTTTTTTCATATGGAAGTTATAAAATGTTGGCTACATTTTTCTCATAGAGGAATGTGTTTGTACTTTCATGTCAGATGCCATTTTGCCATACTGTAGCTCAACCTCTGTTTATAACAAGTCAAAAATATGGGTTATTTCCAAGAAACTCTATTGCCACACCACAAGCATTTGACTTGTCATATCGCATTTAATAAAATAGATTACATTACTTCCGGTATGGGCTGCATATGTGTACATGCTGTGGTAATCTTATTTAAGTTAATTCTATATTTTGGCAATAAATCTAAATCTATTTATGTGTTTTGAAATTTATAACTGCGTGAAATCTGGCATAAGCGTATGAATGTTCGTAACTCTCAATATGTATAAAATTCTTTACTTGAATATCAGGCGAATATCTCGATTTTTTTTTTCGACTGATATTTCATTTGTTCCTATTGAAATATTCTCGGATTCTTTTATTTCTTAACAAGTTTTTCGCTTGACTTCAAGGAAAGCAACGGCTTTCAACCACAACTCAATTCAACAAAGGCTGTTTCAATGTGCTCTCGACATTTGAAATCTATATGCTAACTTCAGTAAAGCCAACGATGTGATTGTTTTGACAGTTCTAAATATGACAACTGCCTTGGCCTGTAACAAACCAACCTTGTGCGGTAAGAAACGAACTTCTATGTGTATGGTTTTATTCTCATCTATTTCTTTACAGATGTTCCTTTACACATACACACACACACACACACACATATATATATATATATATATATATATATATATATATATATGTGTGTGTGTGTGTGTATATAACTGTGTTCTTTCCGTTTACTTGTGCACAGTTATTATCTCATTCAAACTGTTACACTTTGTGTGTTCACTCTGCTTTTCCTCTTTTTATTGCGTTCTTTCTTCGCTTTTTATGGTTGTAATTCCTTCATTTATCTTTCTTTCTCTTTATTTCCTGTCGTTGTTCGCATTTGTCCATATCCACCATTTGCATTTTGTTTACTATTATTTTTCTATTTTTATTTTCTCGATCTGTTTTCTTTCCTTTCTCGTTCTTCATGTTGCTGCATACGAATTCTGTATTTTAATTTTTTTTACTGCTCCCATATTCAGAAGAAATGCCTTTTTTATTTATTTTTATTTTCATCTTTCCTATTCTTCTACAAAACCTTTCTATTTCATACATTCTGAATCTTATATAGTATTTCTTTCCAAATTTTATTTATTGATTTCTTTTTATTTTCCTTCGTCTTTGAGATGTCATGATTTTTATTCTTGTCTTTTTTTGTCAATTTCCGACGCTTGCTTTTCTTCTGTTCGTTTTTTAATTTTTTTCTTAATTCTTTTCTTTGATACCGCTTTGCTTCTTCTCTCTCTTATATTGTTTCCTCTCTTCTTTCTTTCTACTAAAACTTAAGATTTTATAACGAATCGCAGTTTTAAAGTATTTTTCATGAATATTTAATATTCAACATTTTGAATGCTTCGCTACTTTTGGTTTCCAATTACTTGCTCGGCATTCGCTTGTTTCATGCCACAAATTTGACAGCTTTCTTTTTCTTTGTTTTAATCTTTATTCCACTTTTTCTTTCTTGTTTTTATCATTTTGCCTTTTCCTGCTCTTATGCATTTTCTGTTTTTTCTATCCTCATTCGATTTTATTTGACTTTTCGTTCTTTCAGTTTTTCGCCGCTTTTCCTTCACAAAGTTTTGTTAAACTGCGTCAAATACGAAACAAAACAACATAAAATATGAACTCAATATCGTTATTGAGCGAAATTATCAAACGACTCGGTAGAGCATTGTACTATAGAGTACTACAAAATTTTGTATAGAATAAATTTTAGAGTATTTCAATGCCAGGTGTGTGTTCCAATATAACGAGATGAAAAACTGATATCTAAATTCTATCTTTGTGGATTCACACCTCCTCGCTACAATGAATACTTAATTTAATGGGAGCGTTACAATGATAACCATATTCTTGATGAACAACAAATACTTATATTAGTATGATTACGTCATTTGTATATTATGAAGCTAATATGCAAGCAGAAATCAACTCCTCTCTCTCTCTCTCTCTCTCTTTCTCTCGCATACACGCTCACACACACACGTACACACGCACTGTTACCTGGGAAATAGCTATAGTTTTAATAATTTATGAAGGATACAAATTATGGTCGTGTTGTGTAAAGTTCTCGCAAGTACGCAGTGTAGTCAAGGAAAGCTAATGTTAACGAGTGTAGAAACCTTCCCACTTATATATAATCTAAGTTGCATATCACCACATTTCCAGGAACCTTAGAGGCTTTATGCCCTTGATAGATCTGTTACTTCTATGAACAACTCCAGGAGGTATACAGCTTGTCTCATGGTGATTGCCTAGATTCCTCTTTATGGGGGATCTCAGTCTTACTGAATTTTCTTCATTTGAACTTTCCTCATTGTTAAGGGGTCCACCCCTTTTTATACAAGTGGACTCGCTCAGTGTGTACTTGTACTGCTGCCCGTGAATACCCGGAAGAGTGAGGAAGTGATAGTGTGAGGTAACCCCTTTGTAGGAGTCACAGTTGCGAGCACGTAGACTCAGAAGGAAGTCATACTTCGACACTGAATTTCCCAGACTGTATATATATTATTATTATTGCTACTAACTAAATTTTTGGATCTACTAACCGTATTACCAATTGTATTATTACGTCAATACATTTATTTACTATATTTCATTGCTGCGTTTATCATTCATTTGAGGCCTGATTTCATCCCGGAATCCACAACAAATTAGCGACGAGCGTTTCGAACTCACACGGGAAGAACAAACAACAAAAAATTTTCCCTCTTCGTCTACAACAAATTGGCGACGAGCGATTCGAACTCACACGAGAAGAAGAAATAGAAAAATCCTCCACGCGTCCACAACAAATTGACGACGAGCGATTTGAACTCACACAGGAAGAACAAACAACAAAAAGATTTTCCCTCGTCTTTACAATAAATTGACGACAAAGAGTTACGAGGATTAAAAATACGTAAAATTGAGTTATCATGGAAGATTTAAAAAATATTTTGGTAGAACTGGTAAAATACCAAAATGATCAACAATTACAACTACAAGAAAGAATGGAAGAAAAATGGCAAAAGCAATTACAACAAACGCAGAAGGAAAATCAAGAAAGACAAATAGAGCTCCAGGAACTAATATTGAAAGTAGCGGGTAACAAGCAATTAGATTTTGAAAAAGAGGCAACTTTTTCGCAAGACGCAGTGTGGAATACCATAGAGATTTTCAAATATTCTCTAGATGAGGATAAAAATTTTGGAGATTACTTCAGAAGACATGAAGACATCTTTAACATCGACTGTCAAAACTGGACAGAAGCAAAAAAGCTACGTCTATTGCTTAGAAAATTAGGAACTGAAGAATATACAAAGTTCGTGGATTATATCTTGTCAAAACGAACGAATTAACATTTGACGAAGCAGTTATGTCTTAAAGAACTCCTCAGTCCGAAACCATCACTCTTCCACAGGAGGTGGAAATGCCTCAACCTGGTAAAGGGCGATAATGAGGATTATTCCACGTTTGCCGCAATCGTAAATAAACATTGCGACGATTTCAAATTAGCGGAATTAACCCCGGAAAAATTCAAGTGTCTCATCTTTTTTCAAGGGTTAGTTTCAACAAAAGATAGTGAAATGCGCAAAAGAATGCTTTCAAAATTACAAAATGAACTTGGACTAACACTACAACAATTATCGGAAGATTGCCAGAAATGTCAGAAAGACTCGAAGGACATTGAGGAGTCAGCTGTATGTCATATACGTAAGTTAAACAAAAGTCTACGTTCTTCACCCTCCCCGGAAAGAAAACAAAAATTCTATAATAATGAAAAAAGATTCTCACCCTCTCCGGAAAGAAAAAAATTCTATAATAAGAGAAAAAGTACAACATACAGGGGAAATTATGACGAAAATCGAAGCAAATATACCCCCCATCAGCATGTTATCAATGTGGAGGACTACATTGGAACAAGGGTTGCCGTTTTAAATATAAAAACAGTCTTGAGTGTGGAAAAATGGACCACAAGGCATCCCAATGTAGGAACAGAAAAGATACTAGTAGAATAAGAGCTACGAGGAT